TTCATGCCAATAATTTGCCATCTCTGCGCCTCTGATATCCGTCTTCTTGCCATTCTTTCGGGACTTAAATACGGATTTGATGCACGAGAAAATAGTGCATATTGTACGTGAATAAGGGAGCAAGTTGCACGTGGGGAAAAAAACGCGCCTGATTTAAATGTCACACCTGAACGCTCACATCCTTTTAATTATGTTTGAAATTGTGAACATTGCTCAACATCATGAAAATTAAACTATATTTTCAATAAGCAATCCTGAAAAATATTTGGGGGTGCTTAACTTTTTTCCAGGTGTATATATAAATCCACAACAAATTCACCAAATTATTCACACGGAGGCTCCGTATATTATTCGAGTCGTGTACCTAGTCAATGTTTCCCTTCTCTAAAGCCTCTTCATTTACCAGTCTTCCAACAACGTATTTCCTTTAGCAAAACAATTAAACTTAAGCTTACCGTATAGAACGTCAGGCCAATAATTACACTCTGTACATACTGATCTGTTTTTATATCAAGACACAGTTATTGAGTATTTTGTGTTAATTTCCTCAGCTATAAACTCGGTATTTATTTTATTAATAAACAATATTTCTTACAAATGAATACATGAGTGTTATTAATTTTTGTCACTTAAGACAAAGAAGGTGTCAAATTTTGAAGAAACAGATCTTTGTTTAACTTTTTGTGTTCGTGTTAAAATAATTTTTTAGTATAAATGATATTTTGCAACTGTGTTATTAAAAAGAAAAAAAATGAGATAACCTTATTTTAAACATAGTTTGAGGATTTTATTTATCTCATATCCTTAAGTTTTATATGTAATTAGCTACTTGAGGCTTTACTTCGGTTGGACCCGGCACGGCCAAGTGGTTAGGGTGCTCGACTTGCAATCTGAGGGTCGCGGGTTCGAATTCCCGTTCCACTAAACATGCTCACCCTTTCAGCCGTAGGAGCGTTATAAAGTTACGGTTAATCCCACCATTCGTTGGTAAAAGAGTAGCGGTGGGTGGTGATGACTAGCTGTCTTTCCTCTAGTCTTACACTGCTAAATTAGGGGCGGCTAACGCAGATAGCCCCCGTGTAGCTTTGCGCGAAATTCAAAAACAAACAAACACTTCTGTTGCTTAACTTTTCAGCATCGGATTAAAATATTTCATATTTTTTCAGGTTCTGAAAACAAAGTTGGATGTTCATTATACTTTTTAATACAGAATATTTATTTATTTGAACTTACAGTGCAATACATAACTGGTATAGTTTGGTTTTATTCTCAAAAATCAAAGAATCGAAGAAAACCTGTTTTCCTTTTTAACCAGCTAATGCCCTGCTGAACCACAAAACTAACTTCTCTAATATTTTTTTAGTTTAAAATCTTCTTTGCTGTAATTATTTGCCACTTAAGAACGCATTTAAATAAACTACATTGTTATGAATTAGTGGCAGTGTTTAAAATCTGTTTATACAACATTTATTTGAAGAGAAAATATGAAATATACTACTAGTTTCAAAAGTATATTTGAAGCTGAACGCTAAAGTCCCAATAAAAATCAAAGTGATATTATCGTCAAACTTACACAGACAGAGTAAGATGAGAAAAATCTTGTGAAGAGTAAACCTATATGCAGTAAATATGTATGAAAACTCAAAACATATCAAGGGAGGTACTAGCCGATTCTGAAAATATTCTGTTCTTGTTTCCATATTGTATCCGGGTTTCGATTCCTAGTGTGGAGAGAGTGCGAATAGCTTACTATGTAGCCTTCCGCTAAGGCAAACAAACAAACTAAAACAATTTTTGTATAGGTTACATATTCACATATAACATGTTCTAACAAGTAGTATAAGATAAACGATTCAGAAGCCGACAAGGAAATAAAGTCTTTACTAAAGATAGTCCTATATAAAACCATGTACAAATTAATTTTGGTAAACAGAATTCATTAAATATATAAAACATTTAAAAAGTCTGACGCTATAACGTTTTATCATTTAACTATAATAGCATGTATGATGAATAAAATAATAGACAGCAATGCACAAATAAACCTCCATTTAGTATATATATAAGACAAAGAAAGCTAGAAAACGGGTACTCTGCTAATGTGGAGGTGATATTGTTTGGAAAATACCGTTTTTGTTATTCTTGTGTCATTAATAAAATCTGTAGGATTAAAACAAAGTGTGTTCAGTGTTTTTATGTGTGAACGATTAAAATTCTAGGATTCGATTCTATGTTTTACATTATTGTGTCAGTAAGGAAATCACCAGAAGTAAAAGCTATGTCTAATATTTTTGTGTCTATAATCATAGCGCTAGGGTCATATTTGATGTCTAGAGTGTTCTATGTTTTAACAATCAGATCTATACGTATACAATCTATGCTAAGTGTTTCCATGTTAATACTGAAATCACTAAAGTGATTTTTCTATTTAGTGAATTTATTGTGACAAAATCTTCGGAAGACAGTTTTATAACCGCTATTTGGATTGTGTGGATATTTTCCTACGTCAAAAATTTGCATAAAATAATATAGAAACAGCTTTGAAAAGGTGTAGTGATTCTACTATTCTTCGTGTGGTGAATGTTTAAGGAAAGAGATGTGATAATATAAAACACACTAAACTGGATTGATTTCTATGAATTATCTATTTTCTAATTTACTAATTTAATGCCCCTTTCAGTTAAAACAATTCAAAAATACATGTGTTTTTATTTTTCCATTCTATATTATTGTAACATAAAAAAAAGGTTTCGCTAGCTCCTACACCATCTTTAAAGTATTCACTCCAAAACCATGGAATTGTAAACAACATTACTAATGTCTCTATTTTCTTGTTTTCTATTTCGAGGTACAAAGCCTAATTACCTTTATTAAAATATCTAAGGTTAATAAATATTTGAGATAACCACAGAAATATACCAAAAATACGAAATATCTGCAGATCACAGGTCAGCTTATATGGTAACAATTTCAACTCGAATGTTTCGTAAAAGCATAAAGTATGTTTGTAAACATGGTGCATAATAATCCAAAAGATACAATCTACCATAAAAGACTTAAGATGAAATATATTTTCTATACATAAACTACTAACATATATAGTAATATACAAATCCATATGATTTTTTCTTTCCCTTTAAATTCCAGTTTTGTTTCGATGAACCAAACTTTCGTATCCATCGCATCTGTAGATTATAAAACGCAAAAAACGAGCTGTAGCTTTAGGTAAATAATTTCAGTATTACAAGACACTGAGTTTAAAATTTTAGTAAGAAGGTAAATTAGATATCACACATTCACGCGTTTTAATAGGTTTATTACCGTGAAAGCTCATCATCTTGTTAACAAAAACAATATATTTTGGTTAAAAGACGGGAAATCTGTATGTATTAATACTAATGTGAAATATCATTATTTTTTATGCTAGAGAACAAGACTTACCTCGAGGGATATATATCAACATAGGTTCGCAAATATCTCGAGAGGGCAGCCCATTGAACAACAGGTTTTGATAACATTGTCGAAATTAACAAAATCTACAAAAAAAAATACCATAAATATAATTGAAATGTCTTTATTGCTAAGAAACTGTGAAAAGACAAATCTTGGTCCTTGCTAAAAACATATGTTTGGTTAAAGTAACTGGATTCCATGATTCGTGTACTATTCAACAGTGTATGTTGATGTTTAGCAAACTTATGTTAAACTTTTTCATGACAGAGAAACCAAACAATAGTTGAAGAAGCTTATTCAAAATTCCCGAAGTTCATAACACTGGGCAATGTACAGTTCAAACAAAATATATTTCGATATTTGTTTTGTTTGTGGAATTTTGTGAAAAGCTACTCATTCGAGGGCTACTTGCGTTAGTCGTTCCCTAATTATAAAATAACAGACAAGAGGGAAGACAACTAGTCAACACCACTTACCGCTAACCCTTCAGATACTCTTTTACCGACAAAAATAAGGATTGGCCGTCACATAATACCCCATCTACATGGCTGAAAGGGTGAGTCTGTTTGACAACACGATTCGATCCCACGATCCACAGATTGCGAGTCGATCGCCCTGACCACCATGTCGATCTTAAAGGTGGGTATGCTGGCAACATCTGACTGTTTTATGGTAAACGACGCCACTCGGTTCTTGACGAAAAGGAGAGAAAGCGCCTTTAAACATCGTGGTATATCACAAACCAGGCAGCTGAAGACTGTTAAGTATCCTTTTCATGAACAGGCATCCATTGCTATAACTTTCATTAAAATTATGAGCAAGATTATATAAGGTGTGTGAACATACAATATGTATTAAATTTCCTTTCTGTTTGTCGAATTAATGCATTTATATTAATGTAGAAATTACATTAATTCCTCATGTAAACATCCGTCATTGTAACTTGTTATAATTTAAAACTAAAAACGAGACTTGAAAATTGTATATTAACTGTAAAGCAAAGTGTTAAATTTATTTTTAATGGTACCCTGGTACATGGCACTAACCAAACGATAAACAAACCGTAGGCCCGACATCGCCAGGTGGTTACGGCACTCGACTCGCAATCTGAGGGGTGCGGGTTCGAATACCAGTCACACCAAACATGCTCGCCCTTTCAGCCGTGGGGGCGTTATAATGTGACGGTCAATCCCACTATTCGTTGGTAAAAGAGTAGCCCAAGAGTTGGCGGTGGATAGTGATGACTAGCTGCCTTCCCTCTAGTCTTACACTGCTAAATTAGGGACGGCTAGCGCAGATAGGCCTCGTGTAGCTTTGCGCAAATTCAATAAACAAACAAACCGTAAGAAGTTATCAACAGTTCTTACATAACTAGTTCTGTCACTGAAGAAATTTTCAAGTTGCGCTGTCACCTCATCTTAGGTTAATTCCGATTTCCAAATGTGTTTTTAATCCTGAATTTGGATCAATATGTCCACAATACATATTTATAATCTTTTATTTATATCGTGAATATTTTTAATAGACAGTCATAACCTAGTGGTTAGGGCGCTTGACTCGCAATCTCTGGGGTGTGGGTTCTAATATCATCACCACATACGCTCGCCCTTTCAGCCGTGGGGCTTTTTAATGTAATAATCCCATTATTAGAGTAGCCCATGAATTGGTGCTGAGTGGTGTTAACTAGTTGACTTCCTATAGTTTATCGTTTCGAGTATCTGGGCGGAATTTAATAAACAAACTTTTAGTAGACTATAAATTTTGTCTCGTTTTATTAACTATATATACTTTTCTTAATGCTTTACATTGTAGGCTTTCATTTGTATGATTTAAGTAAGAATTAAATCATTTTGCGGCATTCTAAATTTCTTCCTATCATCTGGTTTCGTGTCTTGTTAAACTTTAGCAAATTCGTGCAATACATTATATTATTCAAGTTGAATTTCTGAAGTTAAACTACCGAAAATCAAACTGAATAAACAAAGGACAGAAATAATATTAATAAGGAAAACACTAGAGCCATCTCTGTATAGAACTATGAAATGTTAGTAGGTGGAAAGTAGTTTTCTTTGAACAGTTCATTGACAAATACACTAAATAATAGGAGTAATTCCAATGGGAACATTTTGTATTTTTTGTTTTTGAATTGATTTAATTTTTGAACAAAAAATTATCATAATGTTGTATATGCTTTTATTTCATTCTGTTTTTGGCAGTTTTATTTTCTGTCAATATTCATTTCAGTTATTTAGATTTGGTTTGTTTATTTTACATTTTCGCGCAAAGCTACACGAATTCCTCAGATTTACAGAACAGGCACTTCAACACTAGGCCACGCCTAGCCACAGGTTTGGAACCATAGTGATAAACCTCCTCTTATTTACAATAATACTTTCTTACTTACACTTGATGACGTCACACTTGCTCACCCCCACAAGGTTATTAGTGTTTTGGAAAGTGTTTCGGAGAGAGTAGCTAAGAAAACTGTTTTCATTTAAGTTATAAATAGTGTTAACATAAAATATACTATAAGAATAAAACAGCACTGAGCACTAAGTTATACTCACTCAGAACTCCTCTTGTACGTCGGTACGGGTATAAATTGTAAACTCCTTGACTAGGATCTGCAGAAACACTGCGTTTCACAAAAGCACAAAATGCTGTCATGGCTTTCTTCAGTTCATGACCACTGCATATCTGTATGTTTTTTAACGAACCATATTGGACATGGTGTATCAGAATAACCACACTCATAAATAGCCACAGAGTCCTCATCTGGAAAATGATAAAAAACACAAATTACGCCATTCGTAAAAGTATTTTTATTAGTTTTTTTTTATTTTCAGTGCTTTCTGACGGATGTAAAACAGTATTCAAGAACGGAAAGGACTTCAAGTAATTCTGATGTCCATGAGTTATACAATATGATTACACTTCTAGTTCTCCATTATCTAAAACTTTCGAAAAACTGCAATTTCATCTTTTACGAATGTTCCGATTTTGTTATTTCAGACTAACATACATAAAAGATAATTCTAATATTCGTTCATCTTTTCACTGATGCATCTACAAATAAAGATTTCGCGAAAAATATTCTTCTTCAGTGCAGGCACGTCTAATTGCAATAATAGAGTGAACGAATCACAATTTAATTTATCTCTTGTACCTTTTGTTTTTCCAAAATCCGTTCCTCCCAGAGTATTTTCTAGTATTGAAAATAGTATTTAGAAACTTAAAAACTATGCTAATAGGATCTTAAATAGTTTTAAGAATTACCATGGTAAATTCTGTCTTTCAAGAATCGAGCGGTAAGCTATTAGTGAACTAAAAATGAATAATCAAATAATTGTGATAAATGTAAACTTTGTTTTAATGAATACGTGTACTTATGTTGAAAAATTTAAGGTACGTCTGCTTATGAACCACTAACCAAAAATTCTATAAAAGAACTGGAAAAAAATGTCAAAGAAGTTTTGAAGGAAAAAAGTAAATATACCAATACACGTGACTCTTAGCTAATCTTAGATTATCTCATTCAAAAAACCCTGAACTGCATGGTTTACCCAAAGATAATAAACCTGACACACCTTTAAGACCAATAGTCTTCACAAACAAATCTCTTCCGTATCTTGGCTACTCGAAAAAGTACCTTACCCTCTTCTTAACAAAATAATTTCACCCCTAAAATAAATACCGTCGATGACTTTCTCAACAGATTACGCAAAGATGGTTTACAGATTAGTTCGGACACTATCCTATTTATTCTCGATGTCGTCCCTATATGCTCTTCCATTCTCATAGAGGAAAGTATAATGTAATGAATATTATTAGATTTAACTCCCCTTCCCCAACAACACACACACTTTTTATTACTATGGAATTCATAGAAAATTCTCCCAAGTTTGTACTAAATAGCAGTTATTTTAAATTCAGTTTATCTATATAAACAAACCAAAGCCTTCTCTATGTGCAACAATACTGATGTTGTTTTGGCCTCTGTTTTCATGCATTTCTTTGAAACATCATTCCTTACTCAATGAAACTTTGAGCCTAATCTTTAATCAGTAAGGTAATACAGATATATCAATGACATTTTCGATATATGAAATAATAGACTCCCTTCTCTTTTGGAGTTCTTTGAATTCCTTAATAACAAATACTCCGACATAAAACTCGCACTTACACATACTGATAATGTCCGAAAGTCTATATCCTTTCTTGATACTATTGAAAACAACAAACGCATTACAACCGCATATGCTAAATCATGCATTAAACCTATTATCTTACACTATGACTCACACCATCCACCAGCTACTAAACAAAGTGTCTTTATCTGTGTACTTAAAATTTGCAACACCATTGATGATAAGAAGCAAACCAAGATGAACCTTTAACAACTTTTATTGTCTAATAGCTGTCTGTACAGTTGCATTTCTAAGACATTTCATAAATTTGACTTGCAAAATTCTAAAAAGAAAACAACAACCAAAAAAAAAACGAACAGCTAAAGAGAAACCACCATATGAAAACATTGTTTCATAGGTTATGCCTTTCATAGACGAAACTTAAACTACATGTTTCCGTCAAGTGATTAAAATATCTGGTTTGAATATCCACATCATACAGAAACACATGATACAACTGAGGATTCACATAGTGGTTCAATTTTCAATAACAAAAGCCCGGCATGGCCAGGTGGTTAGGGCGCTCGACTCGCAATCAGATGGTCGCGGGTTCGAATCCCCGTCACACC